CTTTGTCCTGAATTGGATGCAATTCATGACCTCAGTTCCTGGGAATTACAGAGGTCTTCTACTTTGCTCAGCAGATATATTCACTCACTTCCAGAACTGTATGGGTAGTACCTGGCATGGCTTCTTGCTAGCTCTTGGTTTGAGTGACCCACAGTGATTCACGGGAAACACACACTTTTTTTTTTGTTCTAACAAATTCTAGGGAAAAAGGCAGAACCCAGCACAACCATGTCTTCTTTGACTTGCCTGGCAGCATCCAGATACTACTATTGGCTCTACAGATATTTCAGGCACTACTCCGCTATGTATCCCAACTCTACAAATACATCAAGATCACAGTAGGGCTCAGTGGGACATGTATAGGATCACTGTAGGGCTCAGCTGGATTTATACAGAGAAATTTTCACAGATCTTCTATTCTTTTTATATCATTTAACTTTATTTGGGGTGTATGCGTGCGCAAACGTGTAGGGAAGACGTTGACATTGGGTATCTTCCTTGATTGCTCTCTACCTTATCTTTTGAGACAAGATCTCTCATTGAACCTAGAGCTCATCAATTATGCTAGGCTGGTTGGCCAATGAGCTCCAGGGATTTACCTGTCTCCATCTCCCTAGCACTGAGGTTACAGATATCTGCCACTATACCCAGCATTTGCACAGGTGCTGGGGATCTGAATTCGGGCAATCATGCTGGTAAAGCAGGCAGTTTACCCACCGAGTCATCTCTCCATCCCCTCAACTCCATTCTTAATGTATTTACACCTTTGCTATATAAGAGCTGTCTGTTTGTTTTCTATCCTGTTTACTTGTAGCTGTCTATCTTTCCAACTTCTAGAGAAATCTCTCATATAACATATTTAATATTTTTTCTTTTCAAGAACGAGGGAGAAAGGACAAAGAAGAAAGAAAAATTATAGAACTTATTTCTGTGAATCAATAAAAGCAGAATGTTTTAAAAAAACAAGCAAGCAAGCTAACAAAACCTAATAACCACCGCAAATCAAATTTCTTTAAATTACATTAGTTATCAGTCAGAAAAATAAATGGTTGTCAATGCAAATTCTGTTTTTGAAAAGAATTACTTGAGACCACATGAAAGATTAACATGCTCTTCAGTACCTATCTTTGATAAACAAATATTTTTCTAAATTTTCTATGAATGGACTTCTCTGAATTCACTGAAGAAAGGTCAAATTTTAAGTTTAACCATAATCATGAAATTTGCAAGGCTTATACTGAGTTCAATATTGTATAACTGTATTAATTCAACTGTGAACCTAGAAACTGACAGCTACTTGTGAAAGAGATGTACTCTTGCTCTGGAGTGTGTTACTGAATATGTTAAAGCTGTAA